ACCATCGGGCTGCAGGGTTCCCAAGCGGAATATGAGTTGCTGTTCCTGCAACCTTCGGGTGGCATCATTGTGGCACTGCAGGAGGCCCAGGATGGACATGTCGTCTGAGGAATGGGAGGGGGAGTTGAAATGGTTCGCGACTGGGAGGTGCAGTTGCTTAGTGCGAACCGAGTGTAGGTGTTCTGCAAAGCGATCCCCAAGCCTCCTGTCTGTCTCCTCTCCACCCATCTTCTCCCCTATCCATCTTCTATCCGCCTCCCCCTCTCTCCCTACTTATTTCAGAACCCCGTTCCCCTCCCCCATTTCTGAAGAAGGGTCCAGGCCCGAAATGTCAGCCTTCCTGTTCCTCTGATGCTGCTTGGCCTGCTGTGTTCATCCAGCTGTACACCTTGTTATCTCAGATTCTCCAGCATCTGCAGTTCCTACTATCTCTGATTTTCATGATGGACTGGGCTACGTTCACAACTCTCTGTAATTTCTTGCGCAGAGCAGTTGACACACCAAGCTGTGATGCATCCAGACAGGATGCTTTCTATCATGAATCTATAAAAATTGGTAAGGGTCATTGTGGACATACCGAATTTCCTTAGCCTTCTGAGGAATTTGAGGCATAGATTAGGGGGGCACATTTTTAAGGTGAGAATCAAACAGAAATTTATTGTCACATTTGTTTTCACAAAACAAATACAGTGAAACGTTTTATAAGTCACCATACCATGATGCCTAAATTAACAACAGAATTCATAAATAGGAAGGGAAAAGAAGTAAAATTCATAGTTCAATGAACAGATCCTGGGTATAATGGAAACCCAGGCTGAAACTGCCATGCAGGGCCAGGCTGAGCATGCAACACTAGGCCAAGACTGACCTCCATACTGGGCTATTGGAAGACTCTGAAGCAGCCTCTGAAGAGGAGAGAGATTTAAAACAGATATGGGAGTAACTTTTTTTTAACGCAGTGTTGTTCATGTGTGGAATGAACTTCCTGACGAAGTGGTGGATGTGAGCACAATTACAATGTTTAAAAGACATTTGGATAAGTACATGAATAGGAAATGTTTGGAGGGATATGGCCAGGAGCAGGCAGGTGGGACCAATTTAGTTTGGGATTATGTTTGGCATGGACTTGTTGGACCCATGGGTCTGTTTCCATGCTGTATAACTCTATGACTATGATTCTTTTTGGTGTGCTTTCTTGACTGTAGCGTCGATATACATGGACCAGGATAGATTGTTGGTGATACTTACTCCTCAGAACTTGAAGCTCTTGACCACCTCCACCTCACCATTGATACAGACAGGGGCGTATCCTCCACTCTGCCTGCTGAAGTCAATGACCAGCTTGATCGTTTTGCTGACGTTGAGGGAGAGATTGTTGTCTTTGTACCATGCTACTAAGCTGTCTATCTGTTTTTCCTGTGCTCTGTCTCATCATTATTTGAGATCCAACCCACTGCTGTGGTGTCATCAGCAAGTTTGTAAATGGATTTAGAGCTGAATTTGGCCACACGGTTGTGAGTATATTAGGAGTATAGTAAGGGACTGAGTATGTAACCTTGTGGGATACCAGTGTTGTGGATTACCATGGAGGAGGTTGTGTATCCTATCCTTACAGCTTGCAGTCTGAGGATCAGGAAGTCAAAGGTCCAATTGCAGAGGGCAGAGCGGAGACCTAGGTCTCAGAGTTTGGAGATGAATTTTGTTGGAATTATGGTGTTGAAGGCACAGTTAAAGTCAATAAATAGAAATCTGATATAGGTGTCCTTGTTATCCAGATGTTCAGTTGTTCAGTTCCACTTGAAACTTCTGAATGCTGCTGCTACTACACTTCCTTAAACAATCAATAAAGGAGGTTGCATTATCCTCAAGATGCAAAACCACATTATCGTTGAAATTTCTGGTTATGTCAAACATGCCTGGGTAAAGGCATTTGAGAACATTGAATGATTTTTGCATCTTGTGTGGTTTATTTCACCATAGCAGGTGTGGTTGGAATCACATGAATTCTGACTGAAATTTGTGCAAACTGGTAGTCCTGCCACTGCTAAATTTTTGGTATCTACCCGTAGATGATTTCAGGAATCCAAAGTGAGCTTGTACGTTGGCACCACGGAATGTTTAAGTCAGTGCATGAAATTGGTGATCCGTCAGACACTATGAGACAGGTTCTGGTAGGTTGTACCTTGGAGCACCACTTTCTCAGGCAGATGTCTTCAGGGTGCAAAGCAGTAATGTGTCTCCGCTAGCTCCTATGTCAATGAGCCAACAACTAGGTTGGAGTCTGTTAATCCTGAAGTTAATTCTTATCTTGAATTGGTCTTAGACTACCTTCTAGATCTCGTCTGGTTCATTCTGATTTTCCATGGAAAGACCAATGTTATAATTCTATGAAGACCCTCCTTGCTGATGGCATGCAAAATGATCACTGGTCTCTTAAAACTGCACAAGTTCTCTGATCTATCGAAGTTCCATAAATGGGCCATTGGATGTTGTCCAATTCATAATTAAATGTTAGCCTTCTGTTTTTCTTTGCAGATCTTTTCTCTTTTTTTCAGAAGTAAATTGTTTGTTCATTTGTTTTACTGATACTGTTTCTCTCTCCTTTTATTTATCTCTTTTTGTTTCTGTTTATCTTTATTTTCCCCTGTTGTTGCTCCTTTACTGGTATTGGTCCCTTTAAAGCTATTGCTTTAAGTCATTAAGTTACACAGAGCAGCATTGAGCAACCAGCTTTTAGTGGCGTGCCATACTTCAAGTAAGATGAAGTCTGAGCTTTATTAACCTTCGGTCATACTATAAAACAGTGATGATGTCGTGAGCATGTTTCTTAAAGGTATGCTGACATAGAGCATACTGACACACTGACCGTGAAACCCAAAACAACATATCACAACTAAACATGACTGAACTTACTTATGCCTATGGATATCTTACTTAATTTAGTTTGATATGGGGCAAGTGTCTCTGAATTACCCGTTTGCATGCAATGGCTCATACACATGAAGTTATAGCCTTCAGATCTAAAGATACACAGTGCAGGTATTACGACCCTTAAGATCAAGTGAATGTTGTAAGTGTCACTGCAACATAAAGAATACCAGATGTGCATGTGATCCAAAACCACCAAATCTCTCCTAAGGACAGATGGGTGTTTTTCCCTCCTGCAATTCATGAATGTAGCATAATCATAAGTAAATAAGAAAACTACAATCAACAGATCAAACACAGCCAATGGAAGTCTTCATAGACTTTCAAAGGTTAATGATCGAAACTAAGAAGTGACTTCAACCACTGAAAATCACTTCAATTAGAGTTGGAGATTTATTCCATAGGAAATGTTTTCCATCCCTGGTATCACTGAAGAATCCTCAGAGGATGGTAACTATCAACAAGATATCAGAAAGCAACCAAATGCTGCCGTTAAAACTTAGTAATATGGTTCACTTCATTAATCATTGGTGAACTTTTAATCAGATCAGTACTGTCAGCACAGCAGCCTGCTATATATGGTGATGGTGGTGCAGAGCAGTCAACTACTGCTGACATGGGTATGAAAGAAATCTACTGTACCACGCTCAGTAACACACAGCATGACAGAAGACATCAACAATGTTCAACCACTTGAGAGGAATCAGCCATGTGCCCAGTACATGATACTAAAAATGAAACTACTTCTTTTGTCAGCAGCAAGATTGTCTTTTATGATGGACATCCATGAAATCAAAGGTTCTCCAGATCAGATATTGAGCCACCAGCAACACCATCAACAGTCAATCAAATCCTCAACAAAAGGTATTCATGCAATAAAGCATTCTCCAAAAGAAAAATAAATGAAAGACCAACATTAAATTCAACAATCCTCAAGCCAAAGACCCACCAATCTTACATGCTTGGAACAAACATGTTCTGGAAGAATTGTTAATCATCCAGACAGAATGCTTGAATTTTTGAAGACAGAGATGTAGGGGAGAGCAAATGTAACATAGTTGTCTATACCATTGTATAGTCAGTTAACTGAGGGGAAAATGCTCAGAAGAAATGTTGAATAAGGTAATGGATATGAAAGAGTCTATCATATGAGTTAGGCTAAAGCTCTGCCCACTCTGATGAAAGAGCAGCCACTGGATGCAGCATTGGGAGGTTGGAGGCAGTTTCAGTAATTTGTGGACTTGCACAGTTTACTGCTATAGGCTTACATGTCTTACCTAACACTTGTTAGTTATAGTTAATATGTTTTAAAGCTAATATAACCTGTATATAGTTACTGAGGTGTAATAAACCACCTGTTATTTAAGACAAAAGCCTCATCTTGCTGCGACTTGGTCCTTCACCGTAGACAACAGAACAATCTGTCACACGGGCATAGAAAGGGGCAATAGTAGCAGCACTCAATTTCACCAACAAGCTGTTGGTAACCAGGCATCACGCTTTACTGTAACAAAGTGACAATGATGGCACCTTTGAAAAATAAACCCTGTTAACTTCATAATCTTAGAGCAATGGACAGTTCAGTGAGAAGTTCCTTTGTCAAAAAGCTATTTGGTGATGCAAATATTTGAGCCTATTTTCAATGGAATTGCTGCTGATAAGAATAATTGCCAAGTAAGCTCAGGGCAAAATGAAAATGTGACATTTAACATTCCTGATAAATAGTTGTAAACTTTGTCCATCAGCGATAACCTTTGGGGAAAATGTTTCATTGTGACTGTTACTCAGTGGCCATGTGGATTTGATTTGTAAGGATTACTTATATTTTTTTGATCATATATAGGGACGAATAAGCATTATAATAATTTCAAAAAGTTTGGATTCACAGGTAAAATATTCTTGGAGAAACACAACAAAAAGCTAAACTGTTACGCTAAGAATAACATTACTGTCTTGTACTGTTATTGAATATAATGGTAAGGCTATAAATTATTAACCAGAGTTATAGATTGCTAAACAAGTCTTCATGTTGAAATATGTACTTGCTGTTGGAGATGTGAACATGCTGATGTAGAAAATGAAAGGAACAGCCCGTGTTTAGAAAATGGCTGACCATTGGAACAGAATTTTACTCCTGGGATCACTGATCTTTCCATTATGCTACATAACAGGTAAATGAATATATTGTTTTCTAATTTAGTTATTGACGTGTTAGGTAAGTTAATGTGCAGCAAAGAAGCTCAGATCTCAAGTGGTTAATGTTTATCTGCATGTTTGTCAATTAATATTGAAGCCAAGAAAACTCAGCAGTCCAATTAAATTCACTTGAGGAGCAAAGACAGAGAGTATAAGGACTACCTTGCAGTAGAATCACTGCTGAACTGGAACAGCAAGTGTAGGAAGACAAAAACGGAGACCCTGCCCCAGCCTGGAGCGTAGGAGGTTCAGGGGTGACTTTATTGAGGTATATAAAATCCTGAGAGGCATAAGATGAGGTGAATAGTAAAGGCCTTTCTCCAGGTAGGGGAGTACAAAACTAGAAGGCATAATTTTAAAGTGAGAGGAGAAAGATTTAAAAGGGACCTGAGGAACAACGTTTTCGCACAGAATGAAGTTCATATGTGGAATAAACTGACCGAGGAAGTGATAGAGGCAGGTGCAATTACAACTTTTAAAAGAAATTTGGACAGCTGCATGAATAGGAAAGGTTTAGAGGGATATGGGCCAAGTGCAGGTAAATGGGACTAGCTCAGCTTAGGAAACCTGGTCGGCATGGGTGAGTTGGACCGAAGGGTCTGTTCCCAGGCTGTATGACTCTGTGACCCTAAAAATCTCTGCTATCAGCCACACACAACAGTGCAGGTCCAAGAACCTAGTAACCCTGCATTCAAATAACATACTATCTCAGAGAATAATAGACTTTTGTTGTAAAAATTCAACTCCTTTACTAATATCCTCGAAGAAAGGAGATTTGCATTCCTCTGCATCTCCAGAGCCACGCCAAGGTGTCTGACTCTCAAATGATCTCCAAAGTGGCCCCAGCAATATTTTATTAGGACTATTGAGTACAGACAATAAATTCCTTGCCAATCACGTCCTGAACATGTTTTTAAAAATCACTTAAGTGTGCCAGATAATTTGCAATTAGTTTAGCAGAGCAATCCAGACAAAGATAGTAGGAACTGCAGATGCTGGAGAATCTGAGATAACAAGGTGTAGAGCTGGATGAACACAGCAGGCCAAGCAGCATCAGAGGAGCAGGAAGGCTGACATTTCGGGCCTAGACCCTTCTTCAGAAAGTTCGTTCACATTCAAAGCACACCTTTTTCTATTTAGTGAGTTGCTGAAGAATTAATCCTTTATCACCTTCCTTTCTGAAAGAGCATGTCTCAACACAAAGAAACCTGGAAAATAATCTGAGGTCATGGTAAATTTCAGCAGCGATTGTCGATTTAACTTGACAGTAGGTCATTGGTCAATATGCTCTTGTAGTCAATTTTTCAACTTTGTTTCTATTGTTGCACTAAAGAAATAGCAATTTAATGACCAGATTTTCCAGAAGGGTAAATCTCATATAGATTGCTACTCTGTCCATCTTTTTGATGAGGAAGGGATCTCTGCATTTCTGAAAGGAGATTCCCCTCAGAGTTTCCTCAGAAATGCAGAGGTGTAAATCCATTCTGACGTTCCTTTGCAGCGTGGAAATGTCAGACGAAGACAAACCACGCCTCCCTTTTCCGAACAGTCACCTGTTGGATTCTGACTCTGAAAGGTTCTGACAGCCACTTTGCCAATTACTGTCAAACTGCATGTGAGTGAGGTTAGGATTTCACTGGAGAGAGATGGGAGGGTGCCAGGTGGTGGCGTGATGGAGTGCTAGGTAAGTAGGGTGCCAGGTGGAGGGGTAATAGAATGCTCAGTAAGTAGGGCGCTAGATGGAGGGGTAATAGAGTGCTAGGTAAGTAGGGTGCCAGGTGGAGGAGTAATAAAATGCTCAGTAAGTAGGGTGCCAGGTGGAGGGGTAATAGAGTGATAGGTATGTAGGGTGTCAGCTGGGGAGGGGTAATAGAGTGCTAGGTACGTAGGGTGCCAGGTGGAGGGGTAATAGAGTGCACAGTAAGTAGGATGCCAGGTGGAGGGGTAATAGAGTACTAGGTAAGTGGAGGGTGGGTAGAGTACCAAGGTGTCAGGTAAGTATGATGCCATCTGGAGACGGTGCCAGCTGGGGAGAGGGTACAGTGCTGGGGTAGGATAGCAGATGAGTAGGGGGTAAGCTGCAGGTTAGTAGAGTCCGGTAGGGAGAAGGGGTTGTCAGTTCTAATTTAGCGGAGTAAGGCCATATTGGGTCAGGTCTGGTAAGGGTAATGTTGGGTCTGGTCCAGTCCAGTGGGGGTGGGGTGCATCCAGATGGGCAGTAAGGTCAAGGTCTGAAGGGTGCAAGCATCTGACAAGGTGTTGTTGGAGGGGAAGGGGGCAGTGGAGGATGTGGTGGTGACATAAATATTGGGTTAACTGAGTAGTTATCAACATTTTTCTGAATTACTGTAATGTTTCCATAATGTCATCAGGATGCTTCAAAGTTTCCAGTTTAAATGGAGATTGTTGGATGGTTCCAGGCGTAGAGATATTCCCTATTGCCAACTGGATTAGTCAATTAGCCTGGCAATTCTTTCAATATCTGCTATGATTCTACATGGTTTCCATGTACAACTCCTATCTGCGCTGAAATGATGACAGACTAACTAGCAGAAAATCTGGGCCTATGTGTTTACAAACATTGAAGTCAGAACTGTCCTAAATTGGAAAAGAATGTATTAGTTCATATCAATTTTAAATGCCAAAGTGCTTCTTATTGTAGGCACTAACAGACATGCCCAGATTAGATAGATACATTCAATGGTGAGTCTAAAAGGCCTAGTAAAAATGTACAAAAATTAAGAGAAAAAATTTTGTTTACATTACAGTTAATGGGAACATTACACAGAACTGTACACATTTTCAAACTTCTTCTTGGAGGAATATTTTGCAAAGGATGAACCTCAATGTCCAATTTATGCTGCTCACCCGTCGGAACCCAAGTTGTGCCCAACCTATCAATGACAGTAATGACATTCAGAATTCAAACTTTAATGGAAGTCTGCCCACAAAGCTAATAATGCATGGTTACAGGTAATCAGAGACTATTTTATAGTTTTGGAGAAGCCTTATAAAATATATTCACAAACGTGTGTGAAAGTCATTATTTATGCATCGTAGTACAAAATCGCAATGAATAATTTTAACTGCAGGCAGGTGGGTAAATTAAATAGTTGGAATCCATCTATTACTCTGGAAGTGGCATCAAGCCAATTGTAATGTGCTGTGCTTCATATCAGTCATGTCTTAGGAAGTTAAACGATAGGAAGAAATGGAAAATCCTACAGCCCAGAGGGTGCCCAATGACATTTTGAGGGTAGTTTTTGTAGGAATTGCCTTGAGGGGCACTCTTATTAAGGAAGAGGGGAGCTCATGGCAGGAGAGGTGTAAGGTATCTCTGGCGAGAACAGCAGAGCCCTCTTGGGCATGTCTGTTATTGTTGATTGCCCTGCGCAAAAAGCTGTCAGGGCCTCTACACCCAAGCTACCAGTGAAATTTGCTCTGGAACTCAAGTATTGTTAATGTGTTTGGTCATGAAAGGTCTTGGTGAGTGTCTTTGCTGTCTGCTCAGTTAATATCAGTCTTGCGATAGTAGTAATGGTTTCGCCTCTGTCAGGATATTGCGAGCTGTTACAAATGCAAGGTTTTCTAAAATTGTTACATCTTGGAATAGTGCCTTTAAGTTAGGACAATAAGCCTGGGTGGCTTGGTTCTAAAAGTTAGAACGGGAACACAGGTTGGTTTATCGAGAAGAAACTATGAGCTATTTACAGCTGTAAACAATGACATGGGCAATTGGAGTGACAGTGCATAGACTGCTTTTCTCCAAGTTCCAGGGAGCTATAAAAAATGTCAAGTTGTGAATGGTTACATTTTAGCCTGTCAGTTTAATTCCATATCAGAAACATTCGGGGCAACAGTCTTAAAACTTGAAATCTTGTTGGGTGATACTTTGTCAGTCACTGAAAGTTTGAAATAACACCGTATGGAGCTGAAGGAACACAGCAGGCCAGGCAGCAATAGAGAAGCAGGAAAGTTGACGTTTCGGTTCGGGACCCTTCTTCAGAGCCGACCCGAAATGTCAACTTTCCTGCTCCTCTGATGCTGCCTGGCCTGTTGTGTTCCTCCAGCTCCACACTGTGTTACCTCTGATACCAGCATCTGTAGTTCTTACTATCTCTGAAAGTTTGAATATCTTTTTAAAAGTTATCAGTCTGTAACAGGCATCTGGCCTCACTCCAGAGAACTAAGGCAGTACAAGGGAATGCTACATGATGGAGACACAGTCTTTTAAATGAATCTTTAAACTGGGGTCCCATCTATTCTCAAGTGGATGTAAAAGATCCCATGATAAAAGTTGTTGGATTCTCTTTGTACAGTTAACCGAAAATTTTCAAAACTTTGAATTCCAAAGTTGCATTTGTTTAAACTCTGTTAGATATTTTCATGCCATAGAAATTAAATGTTCAGCCTCAATTAGGCATAATCCTGATATTATCCATTGAATGACACTGTGTTTCTTAGTTGACCAAAGAGGTGTCAATAGATAGGACAGGCCCATATATGCTGACTCTCACAAATTAATTACTAGAGATACAAATGCTCAATCGAATTCAGATTCAAACACACATGAATGCTCTGACAGCTCAGGCATTTTGGCTATCCTGTGCATGTGCACCTGATTGGTCATGTCCAAACTTGCTCTTGATTTCTGGCAGGTCTCAGTCAGTGAGATTTCTGCTTCCACTATTGCATTTTCATGGGAAGGCCCACTGATGGCCCCACCACTGCCTGAAAAGTTTGTGCTTCGATGTGCATTCCTGATAAGTAGACTAGATCACCCACCAGTTCTCCAGGCAGCAGTCAACAGCGTCAATAGCTGAATGTGATTCTGCCCCTTGTTTTTGTATCTAATGATGGACCATAATTTGCGCTCAGTAAGGCTGAAGCCACTATCATTACTTTTATGCCCATTTTTAAAATATTGTTTGGCTGAGTTGTGGATGTCTAGCTAGGTCCATATTTATTGCCCATTCTTAATTGCTGAGAGGGCGGTTATGAGTCAGCCACATTGCTGTGGGTCTGGAGTCACATGTTGGCCAGACCACGTAAGGATGGAGATTTCCTGAAGGACATTAGTGAATCAGCTTGCACAACTAAATATGAGGCACTGAAATCTAATACACTTGTCTGGAATGTCTCTCTCCACTGAAACATTACGCATTTGTTAAAATAGCAGAGAAAGCCATAAAAGAAAACATATTCAATCTTTACTCATTCATGTTGCAATTCAATTTCAGAATAACTTGTGAAGAGTTTGAATATTTTTATGTCAATATTTCATTGTTTCTTCATATTGTTATTTCTGTTTAGGATCACTGGCAGCAAACCTTCTTGGGTTGACATCCTGGCAAAAGAATTGCTTGGTGCAATGGATGTGAACGTTGTCATTGTTGATTGGATTATTGGTTCAACAGCTTTATATCATAATGCAGTGCAGAATTCTGTTGAATTGGGTTTGAAGATTGCTATTCTTATAGGAGACTTAATGGTAAATACCTGAATAGATATGGTAACTGAAAGTATATCCTCTAAGCTAAGCAGCTATATCAACACCATTAAAAAAAATCAACTATTGAATCCGATACTAAAACCAAAGTAATGTATAACAATTGATGAAGTCTGGATTTGGAGGTATGACACTATTTATGTTTCAATCACATCATCAGGGCTTGGCATTGCAATTTTGCTCCTCAGGCATCAACCTTTGGGTCAAATCAGCGCAAATGATTTGAGAACATGTCCCATGTGCCAAATTATCCTAATCCGCCCACACTGTTCCTGGCAAGTGAACTCAAGATTACATAATCTACTTTATTTAAGATAAAATGTATTTGCAGCAATATCCTACACATGATCATTTATGACCTTAATGCATTCGGTGAGAAATATATGCCAGTGAGGCAATATTTATAATTATGGCAATCACAAACATGCGTTTGCACTGATTTGGCTTAGAGCTACAAAATGAAATGTTATACATATGCACTTGTGAATTAGAACTTTCTCTTGTACTGCAGAAAAATATTTTGACATTTGTTTGCTGTCATGTCATTTCCAAGTCACACGTCAAAGCCTAATAAAATCTCCATTCTTAACCTACCTTCATTCTCACTTTTGTAATTTTTTAAAAATTTCTATGGAGTTCAATTCAAATTCTTACCCCTGTAATAGCCCAACTCAGCCTTACCTCTGTAGGCACCTCCAATATTAAATCCTATTCCATACTTTTTATCCTTCAGTTCAGGCTTCCTACAGATCATTTCCTCTTTCTATTCCATTATTATCAGCAGCAGAATCTTCAGGCTTACTCACAGGGACCGATGGTGGAATTTTCCAAGCCCTGAATGACATGGGCAATTGCGAAATCAGTTGGGAAAATATGGCAAAATCAGAAAAATGAGGTTCTCAACATTGAGGGAAAATTAATCCAATTTTGCAACTAGGTTTTGAATGGTGAGATGGGAATCCCACTAGTGAGCAATGAGAGGCTTGTTTTCATGCAATTGTGTACCGCTAGTACCTCATTTCACCTCACTGACATGCAGTTTCCTGTTTTCCTGCACGCTTGTTAGAAACTAAACAGAGACAATAATCGATATGACAGTCAGAGCAGGTATCTGCAACTCAACAACCTGTTCCTACTTGGATAGCGGTCCCCAACATATCGGGATACACTCCATAGGCAGGGACACTCACCAACCTTACCACATTATCATGGCATGTCTCCAACCCAGTTAGAATACAGTATTCCACTGCAATTCTGCACTTTGGAATGCATTTTAATACTGCTGCGAGGCTACTTTGCACACAGGGTCAAATTATTACAATGAATCCACCTCATTGACTGGAGCAGTTGTATCTCAAGGCTGTTCGCTCACTCTCTTAGCATGTGCTCACACATTTTGCACCTACTTAGACGATCACTTTCCTTTGTCTTCCCTTTCTGCACTTTGCCATGTGAGACAGCACTAACAGTACACCTGACTTGTCTAGTGCAGATGCAAAGTCTGGCACTTTGTGATGGGTGTCAGTGATGATCCATCAAGGGGAAAGACATGTTTCTCTGAGGGTGACAGGTTACATCAATGTCACACCTACAGCACGTTCCAGCAGCGTGCATGAGATTTGACCAAACAGCCATGTCTTAAAATCAGTCAAGTCGAGGAGCACTACCTTTTGTTGGGGATCCTAGCCGAGTAAATCAAAGATAACTTCCACTCTTAGCCTGGAGCTTTATCATGGTCAGTTGACCACTTGGGGTGGTCAGAGTCAATGGGTCTGTATCACTGCAGTCTAGAGAGTGGGCCATGGTCACTTGTGCAGGTCAAATGCAAACATCAGGGGATTTGCAGTTAGTCAGTCAAGGAAATGTACAGACAGGGTCTGATCATTCAACAGTCAGGAGTGTCTGTCCAAGGCTATCAGGGCAGATAGATCATTGGCAATTCTGTGTCAGGGGTGGGAGTTCAATGACAATCAAGATGGGGTGGAGGCTGTTGGTGGTTATCACTGCTGTAGTTGGAAATTTGGGGCAGTCAGTTGTGAGGAATGGAGGCAGCATGCTAGGATGCAAAGGGGACAATAACTGTGTGGGGAGACAACATATATATAAGGGGGAAGGGGGTCATTGATGGTCATAAGCATCCTGGCTTCAAAGGGGGTCAGTACAGCACAATGGTTTGAATAGGTTTGAATGGTTCAGGTTAGTCAGAAGGCAAAACTATGGTTGATGAAATTTAATCTTGGAAGTGTGAGGTGATGCACTTTGGAAGAAGTAACAAGACAAGAGGGAACTCAATGAACGGCAGGACATTAGGAGGCTCAGAGGAATGGAGAAATCTCCTATTGTATTTGTACGACATGTCTTGTACTGCGTACATCAGACTAAGGTCCACTATGTCAAAGCGCCATGTAGAAGTGTTCCACGGTCCTCCTTGACAGAGTCCTCTATGTCACACCGTATGGAGGACCAAGCTAACCATCATTCATGTGTGATGCAAATGCTGTCTGCTCACATTAATAAGGACCTCTTCTTTTTCTGTTAGGTTCTGATAGGTTCAGTGTAATCATGTCCAATGGATTCAGCCACTGCAAGGATCATTGTCACTATCGCTGTGTGCTGCAAAGATGCAGAGAAATTGCGTCTGAACAATATAGCAAGCCTTCTGCAGCCATGGCTGATAATTCAATTGTGCAAACCTGACTGAGGCTGAGCATAGATACAACTCAGCTTATTCTTCAACCAAGGCCATCATAGAGTAGGTGATAGGCATTCTGAAGATGCACTTCCGATGCTTGGATTGGTCTGGGAGGGTCTTGGAGTACAGTGCAGACAGTGTGTGTCACGTAATCCCGGCATACTGTGCTCTGCACAACTGGAGCAGGTCAAGAGAGGATGTGATGGACCCTGAAGAGCTGGGAGAGCAGAAACAGTCTTCCAAGGACAAAGATGTGGACACTGCGCGGGAGAAACATCACCTTCTACATGATAGAGCAGTGCAGTATCAGATGTAACAAGCCCAACAAGACTTAATTGACATAAAAGCAGAAAGTTGAGAAACTCAGCATCTGTGGACAGAGAAACAATGTTTAATGTTTTGAGTCTAGTATGACTCTTCTTCAGAACTGGAAGTAGCTGGAAAATGGGAGGAGGAGCAAGTGGAAGAGATGAAAATGTCAGGATGAAAATGGTGGTAAAGGAGAGACAGAGATGTAAAATGGATGTAAATGAAGGTATGAAAAGGAGAAGTGGATCCATTCTGCTGAGAGCAAAGTCAACAAGACACAAGCAAGGCACAGCTGGGCTCGGTAAGGTGTGAAACAAAAGGAGGGTATGGATGCCATACTCTGAAGTTGTGAATTCAATATTGAGTCCTGGAGGCTATATAGTGCCTAAGTGGAAAATGAAGTGTTTCTTTTCTGTCTTGTGTGGAACTTCAGTGGAACACAGTAGCAGGCCCTGAAATGTTAGTGGAAACAGTGGTTTATTTAAATGGTGAACAACTGGAAGGTCTGGGTGGTCACCCAGTCTGTCTTTGGTCTTGCTAATGTAAACAAGATCATATTGTGAGCTGCAAATACCATAGACTAAATTGAAAGAAATATAATTAAAATGCTGCTTTGCCCAGAAGGTGCATATTGGGCTATAGACAGTGAGGAAGGAGGAGGTGAGTGGACTAGTGTTGCACCTTCTGTGATTAGATGAGATGTGTCATGAGGGGTGTTGGGGTGTACGGAAGTGTCAGGAATGATGGAGGAGTGCACCAGGATGCCATAAAGTCACCAGTACCTGCAGATTACTGATAGACGAGGGGAATGGAAAATGGGATTGCTGGTGGCATCCTACTGGAGATTGTGTAAATGGTAAGAACGATCTTTTAAATATGGAGCTTAGCAGATGGAAAGTGAGGATAAGGGGAAACCTATCATTGTTCTGGGAGTAAGGGGAAGAGTTGAGAGTGCAGAAGTGGTCTCGTACACAGTTACAGCCCTGTTAAACGTGGTGGGGTTGGGAGGTGGGGTGGAATCCTTGGTTGAGAAAAAAATTTCAATTTTCACCCTTCTCTCACATTCACTAATCCATCTTTGACTTTTTCCTCCCCTTCCTTGTCTTGACCATTTCCATTTCTGGGGATAAGCTTGCACCAATATCTACTACAAAACCAACTGACGCAGTTATCTTGACTATACTCCACACAGCCTGCTTTCTGCAAGAATTCATCATCTGCATTGTACCTGTTCTGATGATGGTACTGTCTATCCGGCTGCCTCTGATGTAACCTCCTTTTTTCTCAATGTAATTATGAATGTGAACTTATATCTACAATGAAGTGTTACCTGTGCAACCAATATGTTCTCAGAAGCTTTTTTCTCATACCATTTGCACTGTGAAAGGCAATTCTTGGCTGGCAGTACTTTTTGATGCACTACGGCCTTCAAATATGATACCAGTGCTGGAAATCCTGGGTGGTCTTGGCAATGGCAAGTATGTCTGCTATTTCTGAGCACACAAGAGCACAAGGGGTCACCATAGAGATATATGCATGGACAACAAAATGAGCAGTGGAGAGTTGCATGAGAAAACTCATGAGGACTCATGGAGAGAAAACCTCTGTGAAACTGTCCAAAATGACACTCAGTCGATTTTAGTAAAATTCAGCACTAAGTCCTTTACCTTAAACCTATATAGTTAAGCAATGTTTGGTCATCTCAATTGACCAGATGACCACTCTTTTATGCTATTTTCATCTATTTGAACTGCCCATAACATTTTCTACATCAAATATAATCTATTGTCTGAATGCTGCAGACTTATAAAGTTCATTATAAATAAATTGTATTATTTATTTTCTGATATTCCCAATAAAATGATGAAATAAGAATTAACCATATCTGTATTTTCAGTCACATGGAAGCACAGAAGATTCTTTCCATTTGATTGGAATCAGTCTAGGGGCACATGTAGCCGGATTTGTGGGTCGCATGTTCAAAGGAAAGCTAGGGCAGATCACAGGTAACTTTGCACACAGAAAAACTGTTTAACCCTCCTTTACTGAGAAAAGCATTACTCATGAATAAACATGCCTCAAATTCCATTTGTTTCCCTCACTTTCTTCTTTGTTTAGAAAATACATACATACTCCCAAACAAAAAGAAAGGGAAAGTATGTGTTTGGAGTGTTTACATTTTCAGAAGGTACTAATGTGTTTGATGTCCAATGAATCAGTTTTGAACAGTAGTCACTGTTTTAATGCAGACTGTTGTGATAAATCACACAATGTCAGTAATTATAAATTGCAGTGAGATCAATTACCAGACAACAGGTGAGGAATTTAGGTGGATCTATTTTGAGAATGCTGGGGTGCACTATCCTTTCCCTACGATAGAATGGCAAGGTCTGATATTGCCAGAGACTGATGCTCAGGCCCCATTGTAAAGGAGCCAATGGAACATATCAACCTATTGACAAAGATTGGGTGCTCTGAGGTAAGAGGTAAATAAATTCCTCAGTTAGATTGGCACAAGGATGGGGGAGAGCTGAGGGAATGTAGTTTCAGGGATTCCCCAAGAATTAGTGGCTGACATAACATTCAGCTGGGGATTGAGCATCACACGTGTAGGTGTTAAGGATCATAGGATTCGGAACCTGGAACTTAAAGATTACCTCTCATTTCTCCTTACCCAATGCTGTGGGTGGTCATATTCCTGCTATCATGTTGGAGCTCCAAAAGCCCTTAAGATAGTTCCTGCACAGTTCACTTTCTGACTCAATGAATACAGCCACACTCAACTCTTCTGGGTAAATAAAGCTAGGTTTAACTGGTATTGTATACAGTCTTGCAGCATTGAATGTTATCATCTAAATAGTAGAAAGTAATAAATATTTTATGACTTTAAACAGTACATTGTCCTGTTTTGTAATTTACAAAACATTTTTGAAAACTATAATTACCATAATAGCCAATAGTTCAGCATTATAAACAGCATTTAAGTGGCTAAAATGAATTTTAACTCTAATTTCTGGTGTCCAGTTCATGCTTCAGGAGGAACAATTTTATTTGGCCTGAAATAAAGCCTGATTTATTTAGAAGCATTGGAGATGGCAGAAATATATTTACAAGGATGATACCAGGACTGAGAGGCTACATCTATCTGGAAAGATTGAACAGTCTAAGGCCCTTTAGAATAGATAAGGCAGATTGGTAACCCTAATAAAATAGACTTAGCAAGATGTTTCAACTTGTGGGGAGAAAGCAAAATCAGGGATCACAAATATAAAATAATCACTAATAAATGCAACAGGGAATTGTCAAGAGTAGTCACAAAGTGAAATTCACTACCGTAGTGGTAGTGTGGTACCACTGGTGGCTCAGCGGTTAGCACTGCTGCCTCACAGCGCCAGGGGCCTGGGTTCGATTCCACTCTTGGAGTGTGCGTGGAGTTTGTTCATTCTCCCCGTGTCTGTGTGGGTTTCCTCCAGGTGCTCTGGTTTCCTCCCACTGTGCAAAGATGTGCAGGCTGGGTGGATTAGCCATGCTAAATTGCCCATAGTGTAGATTAGGTGGGTTATAGGGGGATGGGCCTGGGTGGGATGCTGTGAGAGTCATTGTGGACTTGTTGGGCTGAATGACCTGTTTCCACACTGTAGTGAGTCTTAGGCAGTAGTTAAGGCGATTAGCTTTAATACATTTAAGGGAACCCCAGATAAATATGAGAAAGAAATAGAAGAATATTTTGACTCGTAAAAAGGTGAGAGTAGGTGAGAATGGAGCAAAAATAAAAACATACAAAGGTTGGCTGGATAGTCCATTTCTGTGTACATTCAATGTAATTAAATATAATTAAAATATTTCTCTTTTCCACGTAGATCTGAAAAGAAATTAGTGCCATCCTTTTAAATTCAATATCTCAATATTATCCTATTTTCTCTATTTTTCAGGTTTAGATCCTGCTGGGCCCAAGTTTTCAAAGGCAAGTATTGATCAGCGTCTTGATCCTGGGGATGCGGTCTTTGTTGAAGCCATTCACAGTGATTCGGATAGTAAGTATGAAAAAGATTGTTCTCCTCCCTGCAGTACAGTCTAGGAGATGTTGTTTTGCATTTGTCATATCAGGAGAGAGTTCGGGGGACAGAACAACTAACAGCAAATACTGCTGCATCTTTGGTAAAGAAAGGAAATTAAGGTACATATTTGTCTGCACCCCAGATGATAATCTGATGGAATGGATTATTCATCTATTATAGAACTCTTTCAATAATCATTCCATTCAGGTAAGTGACCAGTGGGCAAGACTGAAAGGTGAAGAGGTTTCGACATGCACTTGTCCTTTCCTGTCCTTTCCTTTCTGTGCATCCAGGGCCATTACTATTACTATCCTGGGCCTGTCGGCACCTTTCACCAGAAAATCCCAGGGATAGTGGTAACAAGAGTAGCATTGTCCGCTGATAGATCCAAACTATGTTCTGCAAATTGTAACATGATGAAAATCTGCATCTTTGCATTTGTAGATCTATACTTCCATAACAATGACAGTTCAGTCTTGAAAAGGCTATTAAGCAACAGCCTTAACTTACATCTTGAAATAAATTATAATTACAGAAAGCAAATTGGAAAAATAGCACTGTGTAATAGCCAGAAAATTGCAAATTTTCAGTTGTCAATCTTTGATACAATTTCTTTTAACAAATACCTGATATCATTGCGAAAAGCCAATGTGTCTGTGTGTTGCTTTTCTCTAACTTTCTAGCCACTAGCTTGAAAATTCATAACTAATCCAGTATTCAGTATGACTTTGGTAATTTGCAGACTTTGGAATTTCTCAACCAGTTGGGCATATTGATTTTTACCTGAATGATGGGAAAGACCAACCCGGTTGTCCTCGACACTTATTATCCTCAGGTAATGCTTTAGTATTGTTAAACTTGCATTCCAAAACATGGATGGTTTAATCTTACTGACAAAACTGATTCAGTTATTTGAGGCTGTATTACAGAGGGGAAGACAATTAGACTGTCAATCTAGAGACCAGGTAATGTTCTGGGGCCTAGGTTTGAATCCTGCCATGGCAGATGGTGAAATTTGAATTTAATAAAAGAAAATCTGGAATTAAGAGTCTAATGATGACCACAAATCTATTGACAATTGTCAGGAAAAACCATCTGGTTCACTAATGTCCTTCAGGGAAGGAAACTGCCATCCCTACCTGGTCTGGCCTACATAGGACTCCAGATCCACAGCAATGTGGTTGACTCATTACTGCCCTCTGAGCAATTAGGGATGGGCAATGAATGCTTCCTGGCCAGTGATGTCCTCATCCCTTGAATGAAGAAAAAAATGCATAACATCTTATTATAATTTGTGCAGTATTTGGATTTTAAATTTGAGGCAAAATAAATCAATGGTTTCAGTCTCTGAAGATATTTTTGTTGAGTTCAGAAATTCATTTGGAACAGTGAACAAAATATATCATTTCAAAGAAAGCATGTGATTTAAGTTAAATGCCTTGATCATTTATCTGTGGAGTTAACTGATGAAGTATTTATGAAGTTGAACTTTTATAGCACATAAAAAACAAGGGCCCATTTGAGAACATTTACATTTCAGTTTAGCTGAACAGCTTCATATCAGAAGAGGAGCAAATTTTATTTTGATTGAAGAATTTTCAGGTTGTGAGAGTAAAAGTCCCCTGGATGTCAGAAATGGAAAGGAATCTAGGACCTCATAACCGGAAAGATATCTTGAGACCATAAAAACTGTAAAGTTTCAGTTAAGTGAGAAATCTTGAAGTTGGATAGAAGTGATCTTCTACTGGCAATGAGTATTAGTAAAGGCTACTGTTGGGGAAAAAGGCTGAATCTTTCTTTTTGTCGATTGTGTTAAGATCTTTCTAAACTGTCGTATATAATATATATATAGCTCTTTATTATATGTCTATTTTTTTCTTCTATGTAATTAACTTGCGTTTCTTTTGCTAAAAAATATTGGAAGCCTCAGGTGAATAGGTTCAATGACTAACTATCACAGTAAAAAAAAATGCAAAATTGAAACTTTTATAATGATCTGTCATGCTAGGTTTAACTCTGCGAACTGAAATGCAGGAATAGGGGAGTCGATCTGGGTGGGATGCTGTTTGGAGGGTTGGTGTTGACTCAATAGGCTGAATGGCCTGCTTCTGCACTGTAGGGATTCTATGTTACACAATCTAAAATTATTTCATATTAATTTATATATAATCACAAATACTGTTTCTCATGTTTTAATTTTATTAATCTAAATTGTTGTGTTTTCTCTTGTTTATATTTGTTTTACTTTCATTGTATTATTTTTTATTATTGTTTTTATTTTTGTCTTGCATCTTTCAAAATGATCAACCCTTGTTGTTTTATATTGTCTTTCTTGTTCATTTTACTTTCTATTAGCAGAATTAACCATATTCATAGATTAGTCTGAACAATAATTTATAGTGAACATGTTTGTGCTCATTGCAGGATTGCAGGACATATAAACAATTACTAATACTGGAAAGATACAATATCAATATTTTCTCAAATCAGCTTATTGATGGAGAACTTGTAGATCAACTGAAAGTAACCAATACAGTTATCTTATTTAATTTTATTCTTTCATGGGAACGTGGGCATCCCTGGCAACACCAACATTTATAGCCCAGCTCTAACTGCACTCACGAAAGTGGTGATTTAATAATATTTTGATAACTGCCCAATTACAATTAAGATGCCATTGTAGAATTTTTAAAAAATGTCATTAGAATGCTTTTTACTATCCATCTCGTCTTCTGTTTGTATGTTGTTCCCATGGTGCCATCAGCAATAGGTCCAAACCTCACCTAAGCACTTATTCTTTGCTTGTGATCCTGGACAGAGTGTAAGCAGACTATATTTGATTTGTGGAGGGCATTATAGCTGTACTTGATTTTTGTCTCATTCACAGCTTCCCAAGTGTTCATAAACAGATATTTCCAAGCCAGATAATGATAAGTACTGTCAACCTTGTCTCATTTGTTCCCAAAAGCCTAGGGGTGCCAACGCCAATTAAAGTATTTCTATTGCTGTCTTGCCTTGAATGCTGGCTTTGAGGTTTTCAAAGCTCAGTATCTTAGGCAATATACTGAGTAGGACAAATAATACCAAAAAAAAAATCACATTTTATTCAGCTTTATTGTTCCAGCAAAATTTTCCCAGATAACATTATTCTTTCATGTTTTCTTTGTCAAATTAAGGCATATTCTAAAAGAAATTTACAATGTACAGTAATTGTGAGCAAAACATATAATGAATTTATCAAGTTGCTTAAGCTTCAAAATAATGGTTATTCAACAGAATACTGTCACGGCTTACAAATGGCTCTTTCTTTTTCAGTGTACAAGTATTTAATTTGTGACCACATCAGAGCAATTTACGTGTACATCAGCTCCATCAAGAATCATTGTCCATTGGTCGCTTTCCCTTGTGAGAGTTATGAACACTTCAGGAATGGGCAATGCATCGACTGCTATACCCACGCACTACAGCATTGCCCACGCATAGGTACAGAAGAAGTGTTGACGCATTTCATTGGCATAATAAGCAAAAACAGAAAATGCTGCAAATATCAGCAGGTCAGGTAGCATATGTGCAGAGAGTTAGCATGTTTCCGTTTAATAACCTTTCTTCATCTGAGTGCCATCAGGATGCTGCTGTATGGCCAACTGATCTGTGACTGAATCCATGTTGAAGTAGCTGACAATATAATAATGATAACCCACCTACTTATTCTTGAACTGCCCAGCTATAGTTTCCTACTATTTCTAAGACTGGCTCCTGCAGGACATGCTTGAAATATACAAACTACATGAAGTTCTCAGAGGAATAAATAATACGTACAAGCATAAAATGTAATTTATTCAAGGTAAATAAATTAACATCTGAGTTTAAAAAAAAAACCGAGACTTGGGATTCTACCCGATGTGTACAATGAATATGGGATATTGCATCTGAAAATGGTATATGAAATAGAAACGAGTAGTCAGAAACTATACACCAAAAATTCTGGGATACCTGCTGAAGGGTTAACACTCTTTGAATTTATGCAAGCACTCAAAACTACTAAAATAATTATATCAACACAGGCACATAATGTTAACTACAGCAGCAAGCAGAACCTCAAATGTAGTAATCTCCAGATTACTCTCAGTGCCATATGTAAGTGAATACAGAAGTGAAAGGATAAAGCAAATGAATGAATGGCTGGAATGGTGATGAGGGAGAACTTTTTTAGGTTCTTGAAACTGGGACTAGCTCTAGAGAAGATGGCACCTGTACAAACTGGGCACAGTGCACCTGAACAGAGCTGGGGCTGAGTACCTTGCAGGACATTTTGCTAGTGCTATTGGAGACACTTTAAGCTAACTCGGGTTCTAACTAACTCAGATTCTGGAAAAGTCCCAGTGGATTGGCAGACTGCCGATGTAATGCTTTTATCGTACAAGGAAAGGAGACAACAAAACAGGTGTTTTTAGGCTAGTTAGCCTAATGTCTGTTATTGGGAAAATGTTAGAACCTATCATAAAGGATCTAATAGCAGAGCATTTAGAAATGCATAATATGATCATGAAGAGTTAACATAGATTCATGAAGGGGAAATCGTAGCTGATAAATTAACTAGAATTCTTTGAGGAAGGATGTTGTGAAACTTGAAAGGGTTCAAAAAAGATTTACAAGGATGTTGCCAGGGCTGGAAGGTTTGAGCTATAGGGAGGGGCTGAATAGGCTGGGGCTATTTTCCCTGGAGCATCAGAGGCTGAGGGATGACCTTATAGACGTTGATAAAATCACGTGGGGGCATGGATAGGGTAAATAGCCAAGGTCTTTTCCCAGAGTGAGGGAGTCCAAAACTAGAGGGCATAGGTTTAATATGAGAGGGGAAAGATTTAAAAGGGATCAAAGGGGCAACATTTTCATGCTGAGGGTGTGTGTGTATGGAATGAGCTGCCAGAGGAAGTGGTGGAGGCTGGTACAATTATAACATTTAAAAGGCATCTGGACGTGTATATGAATAGGAAGGGTTTAGAGGAATATGGGCCAAATGCTGGCAAATGGGGCTAGATTAATTTAGAATATCTGGTCAGCACAGATGAGTTGGATAGATGAGAAGGTTATGTTTCCTTGCTGTACATTTCTATGATTCTATAATTCTAAGTAACAGATTAGATAAAGGAGAAGCAATGGATGCAATATATTTGGATATTCAAAGAGAATTTGGTAAAATGCCACATATTCAGCTACTTAATAAAATAAGAGCCCTAGTGCTGGGGACAGTACGGATAATGGATTGGCTAACTGATAGAAAACAGAGAGTTGAGATAAAGGGGAGCATTATCCGGATGGCAACCTGTAACTCATGGAGTGCCATAGCGACCAGTCCTGTGGTCACAGTTATTTACAATAGATATTCATAACTTGAATGAGGAAAGTAAATGTACTATTGCCAAGTTTGTGGATGACACAAACATAAATCGGAAGGGAAGTAGTGAGGCTGACGCACAGAATCTACAGATGGATATAAATAGGTTAAGTAAGTGAGCAAACTCTTGGCATTTGGAATATAATGTGGAAAATGTGAGGTTATGCAATTTGGCTGAAACAGTAGAACAGCTCAATATTCTTTCCATGGAGAAAGACTGCAGGAAGGTAAGGACAGAGGGATTTGGGAGTTCTCATCCATGAATTACAAAAAGCCGCATTAAGTTTAACAGGTAAGAGGGGTGGCAAATGGAATGTTAGCCTTGATTTCAAAGGGAATGGATTATAAAAGCAGGGAGATTTTGCTAAAACTATTCAAGGCTCTAGTCAGACCACAGCTGGAATAGTGTGAACAATTTTGGGTCCATTTTCTAGGGAAAGGCATATCAGCTTTGGAGTCAGTCCCGAAAAGGTTCGCTCGGCTGATGCCAACTATGAAGGAACAGTCTTATGAGGAGCGGTTGAGTAGGTTGGGCCTGTAATCATTTGAATCTAGAAGAATGAGAGGCGACCTTATTGAAACATGCAAGGCTCTTAGGGGACACAACAGGGTAGATGCTGAGAGGTTGTTTCCCTTTATGGGAGAGTCTATAACCATAGGGTATAATCTCAGAAAAAGGGATTGTACATTTAAGACAGAGATGAGGAGGAATTTCTTCTCTCACAGTGTAGTTAATCTGTGGAATACCACAGAGGGCTGTCAAGGGCTGGATTGTTAAGTATATTCAAGGCTGAGATAGACTTCTAATCAGTCAGGGAATCTAGGATTATAGGGAAAAGTCAGGAAAGTGGAGTTGAGGGTTATCATGTCAGCCAGGATATCATTGAAAGGCAGAGCAGTCCTGATGGGCTGAATGGCCTACTTCTGATCGTATGTCTTAGGGTCTTATTTTGCTATCACAGTTTTCTTACCGGCTTTTGATTTATTTCTGCTACCTGCACGTTTTATGTTACTCCTTTAGGAGTTTTGTGTAAGATTTGATATTAAAATGTCTTCACATTATAGGACTTTTGGAGTGTGGGGGCTTGAGTGCAGATGTGCAGCCAAAGGAAGTTAAAGTGTACCTGATGACGTCAAGTCAGCCACCTTTCTGTGGTAAGTGAGTGTATCATCCCTCCATCAATATACTTGCACACACTGTCATTCAAAACATGAATCCATTTTAATAATGGATGGATGATGTGCATCACAGAGGTCATTATGGTGCTGGGTTGCCTTGGAGGCAGAATGAACTCAATAAGCTTTCTTCTGATGATTTATGGTATCATTTGAACTCTTGATTGTGTTACAACATTGTAACATAGTGTCAGCAATTTATTAATCCATATATAACTCAGATATACCTTTGGGACCTATTGATTTGTAATTCACCGTGACTGGTGAGTAGTCTTATATTTATTACACCCTCAGAGTAGAATTTCAAACAACTCAATTTTAGACACATCAAAAGAAATCAAAATTTCCATCATTTTTTGAAAGCTATTGTAGTTCCTGACAATAAAATGAGATGCACTAAAGGCTCAGGGCATTATTCACAATATTTACCTTTTAATAGGTTGTGCATTTATAAATGTTACAAATTTAGGGCCCTGCCCAGGATTTTATGGACACAATGGAGTTAGGCACTTGCATGAACTGTTGGAACAATGTAGCTTTAGCTGCCTGTACCTCCTCGCATCTCACAATACAATGTTATACCCAGTGTAACAGGAGGCCCTGGATAATTGTAACTTTTCTGAATGTATTTTGCTATTGTTTCAAGGACGGACCAAGAAGATATTTGATGAGATGAAGCCAGCTATAAATAATTTAACAGCTTACGAACAAAAAGAGCAATGGTGACTTAGAGCAACGTTGACTTTATAATTATAATTGATACAACTGTTCCCACATTGTCATACAAAATAATGAGAACATGTCAGTGGTTATTTGAACAAAATCATTCCAACTTTGACCGGGTGAAAATAGAGTGTGGCAAGAAATCTGATTTAAACTAGGGACTTATCACTAGTAGAAGGCTTTACCTGTTAACAATTTCTTCAAACCGCAGGAAGGCCAGACAACATTACCAGATCAGGAAGGTGGGGGAAATTAACATTTTCTCCAAAAGAATGCATGGTCATTTACACACTAAATCCCAGCCAGATGAAAGTTCAGACTCCTACCCTAGAGTTGTGGTTCTGCAACTAGGTTGGGGATCACACACAGATTTGTGTAAAATCTGATTATGTTTCTATTTGCAAACCATTCTATTAAATAAAATTCATATTAGAACCTCTATTATTTGCCAGATTAATTTCATTCTGTGGTTTTGCTGGCACTTTCACAGCCTGTCTATAGCTGGCATCCTTGCAGAAACAATGCTATTTTCTGATCTGTGTACAATGAGACATCTTAATGTGTTATGTTACGAGGGCTGTATCAATTAGGTTTCCTGTAAAAAGATACTTGCAGTAGTCCTATCTTAATTAGGGGAGCAGATTAGAAGCAAAGTATATTCTGAATGCAATATTCACTTCTTTGTTGATTAGATAGTTCACCCATCTAAATCCAATGCCAGTTTTAGAACTTAGTTGTGGCTAGGGAATTCAGCATCCTGCAGAGTTTAAAAGACTGTAGTGACATTTTTTTAGGATGTATATTTTATGGACATATGATTTCCACAACAGCAGGCTGAAGAATCAGGACCACAAGTTCCAAGGCCCTGGATACCAGTGTGATAGATTCTTTTGGAATGATGTGTCTCAGGAAATGAAAGATCTTTTTGGTATATAAGACCATATAAAGAAACCTTTAATGTTATCTGAATTTGTTGAAGATCAGTCATCTCATTCCAGGAGTTCTCTGCAGGAGTTCCTCTCTCTCTAATTGCCTTCTGTTCAGGCCCTTCCATTTCATCATCTGAAGGAAATGCCTCCTTTTCATAGCAAAGCACAATATAATTGCCGATTGAGAAACTGACGTCCTCAGTGCAAAAGTGAACATTTTGCAAAACTGACTAAAAGCACAGCAAGCACACTGATAGACCCACCAGAGTAATAAAAACTAAAACTGACATCGGACAAAGCAGCAACAAATTTATACTGTAGAAATCAAAATGGCCTCTTCAGTGGAATATCCAAAGACAGAAATTGAAAGAAAATTCATCCACATATCACTCATTGACTAAATGTTTATTTTTTCTCCAACCAGTGAAACATTTTCTGCTAGAAATATTTTATGAACAATTAGGATTCCATGAGCAACGTGTCAAAATAAAATTTCAAAGCAACAACCACTCCAATGCATCATACCTTCATCTAAAAATGTAAGTATTTAATTGTAGGGCACTCTGATGGTAGTGTCCCTACCTCTGAATCAAGAGTTCCAGGTTTAAGTCCTACCTGCGCCCAAGATCTGTATTAAAATCCAAAAAATCTTTAATTTAGATTATTTTCAAACAGAATGCACATCGTGTTAATTGCATGCTTTCTAAAATACTGCAGAAGCTTAATCTGATTTGTGAACTTTCCTTCCAAAGGTGCTTATGACAATTGGATGTTAACCAAGCAATTCTGCCTAAAAACCAATTCAAAATCAGTGTAGTTAGAACAGTGCACTAACAATATGCAATCTTGTAATACTAATTGCATTTCACAGAGGTTGGGTTGTTACAGTAGTTATTGCAGTCGTCACATTAGATGTGAAACATGTCAAGGATATAATGCAATAACAACATAAGAAATAGAAGCAGGAAAAGGCCATTAGGCCTCTTGAGTGTACTCCACCTTTCGATAACATCATGGCTGATTTGATTGCAGCCTTAACTCCAATTTCCTGCCCACCATACCTAACTCTTGATTCATTTATTGATCAAAAAAAATGAAACAGATTGGCTGAATTTGTAGTCATAGTAACAAGGTCAGCCAGATGGATCTCATAAATATGAGTCCCCTGATTGGGGCTGGCTATCTGGTCCAATCAGGGAGCACTGGCTGACAGAATAAAAGGAGGAGTGTCAAAATTTCTGACACTCTGGGTGCTGACTCTGATGATGTTGTGCAGAGTCAAGGACTTTCCACACGTAAACAAAGGGTGACTTGGTGACCTGGCCTCTGTGGAGTTACTTCAGCAGAGATAAACTGATGTGAAGCTCACTTTAATAAGCAAAGTAACACAAGGACAATTAAATCTATCATTAAATGTAAACTAGCAGAAAAACAATTACAATTTCCAACACATTTATCCATAGCACCCTACAGAATCAAGTACATCAAGGGCTTAAATCAGGGTAGTTAAGCTACCGTCATGAATTTCTTTGGAAGTATGGTGTAAGCTCCAGTTATGTGCATGAAGAAGGCCTCTGTCACACTTCTGACCAAGTTACAGTGACAGACCAGAAACCAATCCAAAAAAATTGTGAGCGAAGGCATATCTAGAGTTTTTGTCAAGTTAACATTGTCATAGCCTATCAGCAAAATAAACAAGAAATTTTTGATTTCTATCTTCTGTCACAACCAACATGAATGGTTATGGAGCAAGATTGAAAGCATTATCCAGTTTCTCACTCTTGTATTTTCTTTATAGACCTAAAAAGCAATCAAATGAAAGCACAATAAGAAGAGTAATACCATATGATGCCAGTTTTGGGAACATGAATGACATCACTATTGAACTGTTATCCAGTTGGCGTAGGAAAAGATATCCAATTCATATTGAGATGTTACGTATTAGGGAGCTCCCTTTGAATGACAGGTAAATCATTTCCCTGTGGGTAGCTGAGGTTGTATCATAGTTTGACTTTCTTCCTAAACTTTCTTCTCTTTCTTTATAGAGCCATAGAGTGATATAGAAGACCCTTCAGTCCAACCAGTCCATGCAGACCATAATCCCAAACTAAACAAGTTCCAACTTCCTGCACTTGGCCCATATCCCTCCAAAAATTTCTCATTCATATACTTATCTAAATGTCTTTCAAACGTTGCAACTGTACCCACATCCATCACTTCCTCTGGAAGTTCATTCCACTCATGAACAACTATCTGTGTAAAAAAAAAAAAATTGTCTCTCATGCCTTTTTTAAATCTTTCTCCTCTCACCTTAAAAATATACCCCTAGTCTTGCAATTCTCCACCGTAGGGAAAAGACGCCTGCCATTGATCTTGTCCAAATCCCTCATTATCTTATAAACCTCTGTAAGGTCACCTCTCAACTTGCCGCACTCCAGTGAAAAAAGACCCAGCCTATCCACCCTCTCTTTATAACACAAACCCTCCATTCCCAGCAACATCCTGGTAAATCTCTGTTGAACCTCATTTTCTAAATGAGTTGACTAATTCCGAGACATGACTCCACATGGACCAGTAGCTTTCAATAAACTGACTGCTTGAAATGTGAAAATTGTAGTCTGTTTGACTGAGATGGGGATTATTTCAAAAACTCAATCCTCTCCTTCCCTGACAACCATTATCAGAGTTTTTGAACACAGGAGTAATTGAATAGTATTCACGAATGGGAACTCAATTGAATTTTCCTCTCCCTACATGAAGGGCACTGTAGGTATTTTTGACCTAATAAAAATCAGCAGAACTACCACCCCAAACCCCACATCAATCTCATGATTTTCTAACTGATGTGGTTTCCTGATGATTGTAATTTTTTGGGGGCAGGCGGGGCGGCGTGAAATGGTCCTTTATAATACTTCCGGAGGTGATGAATGTAGTCAGTCATATTTGAACCCGAGATAAGATTCTGTTCATATATTCAGTCCCTCATCAGGACCATCTATTACCTCTTAGTGCCTAAAATGAAATTGTCACCTAAGCCTTTGTTACCTCCGGCCTTGACTATTCCACTGTTCTCCACTGCATCAACTGGACTATATTCATACCCATGCATTGGCTGTCCATATCCACACCAAAGCCCTTTTCTGGTAAGCCATCACACATGATCCTGTGGCTCTTGGTTAAGTAACAGTCAGAACATATCATTCTCACCTTTGTTTACAGATCCCTGAATGATTTTCCTCCTTCCCCATCTCTGTCACCTCCTTCTGCCCTACCGCATTCAGAGATCTCAGTGCTGCTCTAATTCTACTCTCCCTGATTGTCATTATTCCACCATTGGTGGTCATGCTTTCAGCTGCCTCAGTATTAAGCTCTGGGATTCCCTTCTTTAACCTCGCTCTCTTCCTTTTTCCAACTTTAAGATGCTCCTTTAAACATGCCTCTTTACCCAAATGCATGGTCATCTCTCCTAATATCCATTTTTAAGTGGAATGGTGCCTAAGTTTGTTTGGAATATTTCTGGTGAAATATCTTAGGATGCTTTACCATATTAGGTGTACAATATAAAATGCAAATCCTTAAGCTGTCGCTGGTAATATTGAATTTCATTGGAATGTCTGCAGATAGAAGCAGAAGTAGACCGTTCGACCCCTTGAATCTGCTCCACCATTCAATAAGATTATGGCAGATCTGTTTGTCTTTCAAGTTTCACATTACCATCCAACGCCTATTACACTCGGTTCCCTTGTCCAACAAGGATCGATCTGCTATGTCACAAACATGGGAAATGACTCACTTTGTATTTATACAAATAATTCTCAATCTCAGCCAAAGCGTGAGGAAACTTGGTGTGTAGAATTCCATTTACTTACATCACAAAAGCAGAAAAAAGGCTGTAGTGGGAATTAAGGAAACCACTGTACTATATATGAAAAATGTTTAATGTTATGACAGCAAACAAATGGTGGAAATAGTTAGGATTTACTTGTAACATTACCAGTACCTTTTGTCTTGCACCAATATTCATTTCTCATTAAATCTTTCTCATCCAGTGACCCTTCCTCAAAACCGGGTCACTGGACCCGAAACGTTAACTCTGATTTCACTCCACATATGCTACCAGACCTGCTGAGCTTTTCCAGCAACATCTGTTTTAATTTCTGATTTCCAGCACTGCAGTTCTTTCGGATTTTTTGTTTCATTTAATCTTTCGCCTTTTCTACCACATCTCATCCCCTCCTTCCCCACGTCTTTAATAACTTGAAATGTGTTAATGTGTTAAATTTAATATGTTAAATGTATCTAATTATTTCTTGTTCTGGAAGTTCTATCTGTACTGATGTTACCAGACCTTACTATTTCCAACATTTCCATTTGTATTTCATACTTCCAGCAACTGCGTTATTTTGCTTTTACAGTCATAGAGCTGTACAGTGTGGAAACAGACCCTTCAGACCAACTAGTTCATGCCCACCAGGTATCCTAAATTAATCTAGTCCTTTTTGGCAGCATTTGGCCCATATCCCTCTAAACTCTTCCTATTCATATACACATCCAGATGCCTTTTAAATGTTGTAATTGTACCAGCCTCCACCACTTCCTCTGGCAGCTCATTCCATACAAGCACCACTCTCTGTGTGAAAAAATTGCCCCTCAGGTCCTTTTTAAATCTTTCCCCTCTCCCATTAAACCTATGTCCTCTAGGTTTGGACTTCCCCACCCTGGGGAAAAGACCTTGGCTATTCACCCTATCCATGCCCCTCATGATTTTATAAACCCTTATAAGGTCACCCGTCAGCTTCTGATGCTTCAGGCAAAATAGCCCCAGCCAATTCAGCCTGTCCCTAAAGCTCAAACCCTCCAACCCTGGCAACATCCTTGTAAATCTTTTCTGAACCCTTTCAAGTTTCACAACATCCTTCCTATAACAGGGAGAACAGAATTGCACACAGTATTCCAAAAGTGGCCTAACCAATGTCCTGTACAGCACCAACATGACCGAAAAACACCTATACTCAAAGCACTGACCAATAAAGGCTAGCATACCAAACGCCTTCGTCACTATCCTGTCTACCTGCGACTCCACTTTCAGGGAACTATGAGCCTGCACTCAAAGGTCTGTTTGTTCAGTAACATTCCCCAGGACCTTACCATTAAGTGTATAAGTCCTGCCCTGATTTGCCTTTCCAAAATGCAGCACCTCATATTTATCTAAATTAAACTCCATCTGCCACTCCTCAGCCTGTTGGCCCATCTGATCAAGATCCCATTGTACTCTGAGGTAACCTTCTTTGCTGTCTACTACACCTTCAATTTTGGTGTCATCTGCAAATTTAATAACCACATTCCTATGTTCACATCCAAATCATTTATATAAATGACGAAAAGCAGTGGACCCAGCACCGATCCTTGTGGCACACCTCTGGTCACAGGCCTCCTGTCTGAAAAGCAACCCTCCACCACCCTCTGTCTCCTACATTCAATCCAGTTCTATATCTGAATGGCTAGTTGTCCCTCTATTCCATATGATCTAATCTTGTTAACCAGTCTATCATGAGGAACCTTGTCAAACACCTTACTGAAATCTATATAGATCATGTCCACCGCTCTGCCTTCATCAATCCCATTTGTTACTTCTTCAGAAAACTCAAACAAGTTAGTGAGATACTGTTTCCCACACACAAAGCCATGTTGATTATCCCTAATCAGTCCTTGGCTTTCCAAACACATGTAAATCCTATCCCTTAGGATTCCCTCCAACAACTTGCCCGCCACCGATATCAGGGTCACAGGTCTATAGTTCCCTGCCTTTTCCTTACCACCTTCCTTAAATAGTGGCATCACATTAGACAACTTCCAGTCTTTCAGCACCTTGCCTGTGGCTATCAAACATACAAATATCTCAGCGAGGGACCCAGCAATCACTCCCCTAGCTTCCCGCAGAATTTGAGGGTACATCTGATTTATCCACCTTTATGCATTTTAAGACTTTCAGCACCCCCTCTGTAATATGGGCATTTTTCAAGATGTCTGTATTTATTTCCCCATGTTCTCTATCTTCCATATCCTACTTCACAGTAAACACTGATGCAACATACTCGTTTAGTATTTCCACCATCTCCTGTGGTTCCACACGTAGGTGGCCTCACTGATCTTTAAGGGGCCCTATTCTTGCCTTGTTACTTTTTTGTCCTTAATGAATATGCAGAAATCCTTTGGATTCTCCTTAACCCTATTTGCCAAAGCTATCGCATATCCCGTTTTTACTCTCCTGATTTCCTCTTAAGTATAATGCTATTGCCTTTACACTCTTCTAGGAATTCACCCGATCTCTGCTGTCCATACCTGACATATGTTTCATTCTTTCTCCTGACCAAAACCTCAATTTCTCTAATCATCCGGCATTGCCTGCACCTACCAGCCAAATAAACTTTTATGTTCTCCTATATCTTATGGGTTAAGCTATGAACAGCTAACAACTGTTATAACGGACTGTCTTATGCAGATTGTTACCTTCTGTAACTGTAATCTTCTTTCCCTTTTAGTGAAAGGCCACCCTGCTGTATCTATAACATCGCCTTATACAGAGAAATAATTTTTGAGCAGCTTTCTAATTGTCTTTAGAAGCAGAATGTCTCTACATCCTTTGATGCTTCAAGAATAAGACTGCCAGACATGGCTTTATCTACCAAAAGAACACAGTGAGCTAAGGAAGACAAACATAATGCCACACATTCAACTGCAAAGATTTATTGGGTAGATTATGAACAAAGAAAACTGAATTTGGTCACCTGAGTTGAATGTAAAAATTTGTTTGAATTTATTATAATGTTCTGTAATAATACAGAATTCAAGGAAATGTCAGCTAGCATATTCAGGTACTATCTGTAGGGATACTGTCTGTTTGGGGCATGCAATTACAATCAGCCTGACAAGAAGACATACTGGGTCTGACCCATCTCCCGCACTTCTGCCCTCACCACCCTCTTCCCTCCTGCAACAGCAAGAGGGTTCCCCTTGTCCTTACCTACCATTCCACCAGCATCCACATCCAGAAGATCATCAGATGCCATTTCCACCACCCCCAGTCAGATACCATCACCAGACACATTTTCCTCTCCCCTCCCTTGTCCACCTTCTGCAGGGACCGTTCCCTCCAGGACACCCTGGTCCACTCTTCCTTCACCCCCAACATCCCCCTACAGCTCCACGGCACCTTCCCCTGCAACCAGCAAAGGTGTAACACCTGCCCTTTTACCTCCTCCCTCCCCATTATCCAAAGGCCCAAACATACCTTCCAGGTGAAGCAGCACTTTACCTGCACTTGACACAATCTAATCTGTTGCATCCGCTGCTCACAATGTGGTCTCCCCTACATTGGGCAAACGAAGCATAGACTGGGTGGCTGCTTTGCAGAACATCTATGTTCTGCTCACAAAAAAAGACCCTGAACTACCTGTTGCCTGCCACTTTAACACACCACCCTGTTCCCTGGCCAACATCTCTGTCTCAGGTTTGCTGCAGTGTTCCAGTGAAGCTCAACGCAAGCTGGAAGAACAACACCTCATTTTCCGCTTGGGCACCCTGCAGCCATCCGGACTCCATATCAAATTTTAGGGCCTAACCTCTCCCATGTCCCAGCCCCCTACCCCACACACCAGGCCTTGTTATCACATAGCCTGCCATTACACATTACCTATTGTTAGCCACTAACAGTCTCCATTAACAGCTATTCACCCTCCTAGCCAGATTGTTATCAACTCCTTTGTCTATTCAACTGCTGTTCTCTCTCTTTGGGCTCTATCCCCACCTATTGTTTACTCCTTACCGGCTCCCCCCAACCTATCTTCTGCATATAAACTGACATCTTCCTAGCTACCATCAGTTCTGAGGAAAAATCACTGAACCCAAAACATTAAATCTGATTTTTCTTCACAGATGCTACCTGACCTGCTGAGCTTCTCCAGCAACTTCCGTATTTGTTGTTGAAGAAGACATATGACCTGTTTACAGTTGTAGTGTAGCTTCCACAATTATTCCACTTTTGAAACCAAATCTTTTCAATCAGTGAATTAAGGTTATTGTTAAACTTCATTCACCTAATTTTCCCTGCAATTCCTCTTCAAATTACCCTCACCCATTCATCGTGAGCAATTATGAGGATTAGGCACATCAACCATTTAATTTTTCCAAATATGCAACTCCCTAATTGACTTCAGTTGGTCTGCAAAGTGACATCTCTGGAGGAGAAGATAGGCTCCAATTTCTGTAAAATACGAGCTGAACATTTAGTTACTACAGCCTTCCTGAGGCAGCCTGGCTAAGACTGTCAAGGATTGGTATTATAAATGAATATTAAGCATAAATGTCAGTCAAATATTGCAAGTTGACCCATTGGCTCAGATTTGATCCTTCAATTCATTTTATCTTCATTTTGACCAAACCATTTTCACCAGAGTAATGGAGAGAAAATTAAACTAAAAAGGATTAACAATTAACTTAATTCACAGGTTTAAATGTTTGATTCTAAAAGCTATACAATGTTGGCAGCCAAAGTACAACAATAAACCTAATGTCCTTTTCTCAGACCTATTGTAATAATACGTCTACTACAGGTAGTACTTGAACATGCAAATAAAACTTGCCTGAAACTTTTATTACTTCAGCACACTATATGCAAGAAATTAACTGACGTGCATTAGCATATGAATGAACGAATGATTTATTGTCACATATTTAGGGAGATAGTGAAATATATTCAGTTGGCACAATCTGGCACCGTTTTGATATACAAAAGAATACAAAGACAGTACTTAACCAGAGTTCATCTTCATTGGCTGAGGTCCCAAACACAGCTACAGGACTTTGGCAAGGCCTCTGCAAGGCTCCTGGTCCAGGCCAACTGCAGCCAGGAGTCTCCATTCTGCCAGCCGATGCCTCACCGCCAAGTCCAGGAGGCCATGCATCGGGCCTATGAAGCCAGGAGAACCTACCACACTGCTCCTGACTGCCCGTGACATCAGGAAGATGAGAAAAAAGAAGAAAAGATGAAAAGAAGATGGAAGAAAAAATGCAGCTGGTCTGTAGCTATTTGCATAACACATAATACCATGTTATGGCTATAGATTTGAATAATTGTTAGTGACGCCTGAATAAAAAAGGCTGCAAATTATAAAAATTTACAATAAAAACAGAAAATATTAGAAATGCACAGCTGGCCCCAGCAGAATCTGAAGTGTGGACACATTAAAGTTTTGAGTGGAAACCTTTCAGCAAAACTGAGAAAATGAGGCAAGTGGTCACTAGATCTGATGAAAAGGAAGATGAGGAGTATGAGTAATAAATAAAGACCCTGGACTACCTTAGATTCCTTCAAGACTCTCTGTGATCTTCAGGTCTAAACATTTGATGTCAGTATTTCATAGAATTCTTGTGTGTGGCTTCAGTGTGACGCAAATGTGGTGGTGCACATGTCCCAGTTCTCTGTTGCAGATGTAGATCTTGGAGAAGGGGTATCAAGATTTCCTACACAGATCCTTGAAATTGCAGTTGCAGCTTCTTTAAAGTGTAGCTACATGACCTATTGGATAAGAAATTAACATTTTGATGAATGGAATTGCAGCAAGTGATAGAAAATGATGATGAAGTCAGACAATTCCAGGATTGGTGGCTTTAATGACAAAGCATTTGTTCAGGGAGTTGCAGGCAGTGAGTTATGCTGAGGAAGAACTTGCTTATTGTAAAACTCCATTTTTGGGTGAGGGCGGAGGAACTCTGGGCAGCAAGTATCCATCACACAATTCCCCAGAGAGACATGGTGCCAAGTTCTGAAAATACAAATCCAAAAACTGGAAGAATTGAGGCTATTCTGTGAGGGGAGGTTACTGAGTCATTTGAAGGAGCGGGCTGAGTCTTATGCATTTTTAGCTAAGTCTGAGATGTGTCAAGTTTTTGTGAGGATTTGTTGCCATAGGGCCTAGCATGTTTTTTGCTGTGTCTTTTCAAAGTCAAATCATGAATTACTGACCCCAACCCATGGGATCCCTTAAATCCACTTCCAGCCCTACCTTCCCATGTCTCATTCTCTGAGAACCCTGCCATTCAGCACATATCCGCTGGAAGATGGCATCCCTTGTGTCTGAAGAAAGGTCCCAACCCGAAACATCAGCTTTCCTGCTCCTCTGATGCTGCCTGGCCTGCTGTGTTCCTCCAGCTCCACACTGTGTTATCTCAGACTCCAGCATTGGCAGTTCTTACTACCTCCTTGTGTCTGCACCATCTTTAAAAGGTCACTGTGCACTGGCATTCCAAAGCTAATTGACAGACAGAATCTGAATATGGTAGAAAGGGGGAAGATAGTGCCACAATTCACTTACAGGGACCTGGAGTACCTGATGAATGGTCTGTGCCAACCAGGCCTCTGCCCTAAGGTTGCCATCAAATCAGTAAGATCTGCAGAGTGTGGAGGAATGACCAACAGTGCTACAATTTAGCATGGCCAATCCACCTGGCCTGCACATCTTTGGACTGTGGGAAGAAACCAGAGCACCCAGAGGAAACCCACACAGACACGGGGAGAATGTGCAAACTCCACATAAACAGTCGCCTCAGGGTGGAACCGAGCCTAGGTCCCCGATGCTGTGAGGCAGGAATGCTAACCACTGAGCCAGCATGCCGGCCATCACGTGGAAGCAAGATGAACAATGCATGAACATGGCATTGGGTCATGCTGATGCCTTTTGTCTTCCTCATGCAACATCGCTTTGTTGTGTGGCCTCAGTACCCAAAAGTCTATCTGTCAATGATCTGAATAGCCGTGTCTGTGACAGGAAGGTGCACACTGGAGGGACAATAGATTAGGACGACCAGGGAGTTCAGGCTCCTAGGTTTGTATCCTGTATACTAGATGGGTATAATGTTCTTTCCCTTTAAAAGCCCTCCCACATTGGTACTGCAGCCCTCTCTTACAGGTTGAGATATTTACCCCACCCAGACTGAGTGTGGTCACAGACACTTTCTTCCTCATTGCACAGTTTTAGTTTCCAGCACAATGGAAGGTGGCAGTGAGCATTCCTTGGTCAAGTGGCTTCCAGCCTCTGCCTGAACGTCCCCAAACATCCAGATCCCCTTCCTGGTAGCATATCCCATGAACCCACAGGCTTCATACTTCCTTAAGTCTCCATGCAATCCATCTGCACAGACTTTCACCTACCCACCTTTCACCTCCAGCCCCTGGCATATGCAGTCGTCATGTCAGGTACGGTCATTCACTGGTCCACCCATGAAGCCAGCCTGACTGTAGATAATACCCCTTAAGCATGACCCCATTCCCATCCATTTCCCATATCCTCCATTTACTAATATTGTTGCCCCCTTTGCATATGTAGTCCTCCCTTCCCAAAGCTTGCAGACCCCAGTCCTAAAATCCAACTTGCTGAGTATCATTCCCACGGCAGTGGTCATCATTGTTGCTCCTGACATCAAGGTTGGCCTTGCTGGAGTTCAAGTTCTATTCCACCACAAATCTGCCTTAGCCCAGATCCCATTGAGATGCCACCCCATAGTTTTAACGCATAACAGGAAATGCTAAAACATCTGCCAATATACTGGTTCAGTGAGTTGGAGGATCTAGTTAGTAGAAGGAAGGCACGAGATTTGACAGAGAACAGGATAAACAAGTTTTTTCAACAGAAATGTTGATGGTGAAATTTGATTGAAGCAGAAATACTATCAAATGTAAGAATAGGTTATGAAGATTTTGGTGACAGACAGACATTAATTAGGTTCGAGGCTGGTGAGAGAGGATGCTACCATCTCCCAAACTCCATTCTGACCAAGTGCGAAAGTGACGGACAATCTTTGCACCAATTGTCATCCTTATGTGGGCTCTTAATGCCCACTAAAGGAACCTCACCCCACAGCTACTGGGATTAGCCTAGCAGTAGGTTGGACGGGAGATAGGGTTAAGGTTACGGGGTGTAATCCATCATGTGTGGAGAATGAAAAGCACACTTTGACATGTTTGCTTGAAGGACATGTGCCTTGTCCTAAGACACTCGGTGCCTGATGAAGACATAGTTTATTGGATGGGTGGGTTACCGAGATCCACCTCCCAGTCCTTGATGCTGACACCCTCTCCATCCTTCCCCTTAACACTCATCCTGCTATCACTGAGCTGAGCCTGGGCCCCTCCTCAAGCTGGCCTTAGATAGTTGACTGTAGCTATTTCCTCCTCATTGGTGCTGCTGAATTCAGATCGCTAGTTGGTTGGCACCTTTTGGTGATTGGCTGCTAGTTCCTGGGGGAGAAGCATGGCACTGGCCTGTCGAGTGTTTGATTGGCATAAAGTGTGACAGACCTTCTCAAAAAGACATGACTCAGAGGTGTCAGTGATTCTGCAACTGGTGGACGAGACACCCATCCCCAGGACAAGATCCCAGCCATAGAAGCAGCAAAGTTGTCGTAGGAGATTTAGAGGCTATATGGAGGCTAAACATTGACATGGACTAGTGCGCTAATGTCTTTTTGTGTTATAATTTCTATGAGACGTACAGTAAATGCTGGACAAACATCATATCACCAATGAAGAGTAAAGGTAGATTCAGTGTGTATCTTTCATCTATATCAATTCTGATTTTATAATTCTCATCCTTGCTTTCAAATCCTCCATAATCTTGCCTCTCGCTATCTCTGTAATTTCTAACAGCTCCTCTGAAATATCTATGTTCCTCTAATCCGAGATCATCTCACTTTTAATCACTCCACGTAGGCCATTCCTTCAGTTGCCTAGGCCCTGCTCGGAAATACCTTCCCTTTAAAATTCTTCTTAACCTAACTTTTTGACTAAGCTTTTGGATATCTGACCTAATGTCTCTTTATGTGGCTCACTGTCACACTATGTTCCATAATGCTCCTGTGAAACAACTTGGAAAATACAATAATGTTAAAGGCACTGTATAAATATCATTGTCATTGATAGCCCCGTGAAAGAAGGTTGGCGCCTGCTAGCCTTCATAATTTGAGTGTCCTGAGTAGATTTTGAGGGTCAACCCTGGAGCCATAGGTCTTTATAAACATAAATTGTTTTGTTATTGATGAGGAGGACACATCTGAAAACCCAGAAGCTATTTTCTCTTCTCAGATGCTGAATAACTTGCTGAGTATTTCCAGCATTTTATATTTTTGCTCAAGATTCTCAGAAATTTCAGTTCCTTTTATTAATAGCCCTGTTGTCTATTGTCTCTTTAAAGCTGAAGTAAAGCTGCTGATTTGTTTATGGTTATTGTATTTCAGTAAAAGTTCTTACCAAATGGAAACATCTGCTACTCTAATAACTATAAGATTGGCCCAATTATCCAATTTCACTGAAATGTGCTTTGGATTTCCTTTTTTGTCCATAGCATTGTATATGTACATCTGAATACACAAAATGGAAGGAATTGCAATGCAGATTGTTCAATATTTGGACAAAAGATGTTTATCTTTAACAATATCTTATTCGGTAACTTTGGTATGGTTAACTTACTTTGCCACCAAATAAAACTTGTTTTAACCAGTCAACTGACTCCTGTGTCTGAGGCACCAAAGCTGAGGGGCATTAGAGGAATGAAAAATGATGAATGCTGAAGCTCGTTGCAAAGTAACAAGCAGTGTAATGTTGTTACATATCTCAGCCAGTACGTAAGTATAGTTTCAAGACACATGCTCATGACATGTGCACTGCATCATAGCATGTGTCATGAGGGTATAAAGGCCTTATACTCCATCTTACCTCAGATCACTTAAAGGATGACATTCTACTGGAATCATGCTGCTCTGTTTTAACCTAGTAGTTTAATGTTAGACCAGACAGTAGGGTATCTGGGAAATGTAACGTTTGTTTATAACAGTAAAAAATTAGGTCAGATTCTTCAATACCATGATATCCAAGCCCCTGTTCTCATATATTACAAAGGATAACATAAGCATTGCCACAACACCCTGTTGGAAGCAAAATTACAACCAGTAGAATGAATGAGCTTCAAGCTGGAATATCTAGCTGACAAACGGCTCACATGAGTGGAGTAAAATTTGTCCTACAAACCGCTTCAAACAAGAGCTGGCCTAAAAAGGGCTAAAATTAAAAGCAAAAATGTCAAAAAGAAATTTGACACAGAACAAAATGAGTGCAAACAAGTTCCTTTAAGCAGCTTTGTGAGTAGATGCTCAGTTCTAGCCATTCAATTTCTTATCGGCTAAATCAAGAAACACTTGCATGTAGCATGAAGATGGGAAATAGCATAATTTTTAGTCCAAGGATATTTCTTTGACCATTTACTTTCACCAACAGAAATTTGCATTGTACA